AGTGGTGCTGTGGCTCAAGTGGTAGAGCGCTAGCCTTGAGCTGAAGAGCTGAGGGACAGCGCCCAGGCCCAGAGTTCAGGCCCCACGACCAGACCCAAAAAAAAAAAAAAAAAGAAGAAGCTCATGGACAGCACTCAGGCCCAAAGTTCAAGCATCAGGATCAGCAAAGAAAGAAAAAAAAGTTTAACTCTACCATATCGATCTGCTGGCAGAAGCGAGTTACACTTGAGAGACAACTTACTAAAGAATGGGGAAGACCATTTCCCTCAGTTGTTACCCAGGTAATTAAATCCTAAACACTACCTGATCCTCTGCCAATAGCCACCATCCCATTTCTAGCCAAACACAAGTGCTTGAAGAAAAACAGCCAAAACTTACTTGAGCAGTAAGCAGAGTTGTCAAGGAAACATCAGCACGCTCTTCAGTGATATAGGTCCTTGGTTTTCCTTCCCAGAGTGCACAGTCTTCCAGGTCCATCAGCTTCACCTGAGATTTAGACAGGCCTGGGGGGCGGGCTCCCTGCTGCTGCTGTTGCTGCTGCTGCTGTTGCTGTGCCTGTCGTAAACTAATCTGCCTTGGAAATACATTTTCATCTAAAGTTGGCACAACGAAGTTATTCACCTGATTATCCAAGATGGTGCTTGAAAGATTTTTGGTAGTCTTATCTCCTGGAGCTGCATGAGAGTGTTTCTGCTTTGGTGAAACAGGATAGGGTAAAATGGACTTATAAGATGATTTAGTTCGGCCACTGAGTGCTGCCTGTCTATTTTGAGACTTGGCCTTTCGAGAGGCAGTGGACACAGAATGAGGCTTCAAAGAGTAAGAGGTAGAAGGGGAAATAGTAGATTGCTTCTTTAGGACACTATCAAGTGTTCGTACATAGCTGGTACTTTTGGTAGGCAGTTGGTAAACCACAGGAGATGTGGGGGCATTTGAGGAGAAACCCATGCTTGTTTCCATAAGCTTGCCTTCATTTTCCAAGTATTCATCCAGCTTATCACTACAGAAAGCAGAGCGGTTTTTCAGTGAACCTTCTGAATTTCCACCTAGAAATAAGGCAGACACAGATATTTTAATCTAGGGCTCTGGATGTAACTCAGTGATCAAGAGCACTTGCCCAGCATGCTTAAGGCTTAGGGGGGAAAAAGGCCCGATGCTGGCAGTTCACGTATGTAATCCGAGGTACTCAGAAGCTGAGACCCTGAGGATCAACGTTTGAAGTCAACATAGGCAGAAAAGTCGGAATACATTTCCAAAAATAACCAGCAAAATGTCATGCTGGAAGTGTGGCTCAGATGGTAGAGCCTCAGCCAAGCAAGCTCAGCGCCTGAGTGTAAACCCCAAAATCAGCAAAACAAAATAAAGCAATCTAGAAAAGATGTCCTAAAGATGAGAAAAAATAAGCTACAAGATATTACAAGTTCTGCCAGGCACTGGAGGCTCACGCCTGTAATCCAACCTACTCAGGAGGCTGAGATCTGAGGAACTTGGTTCAAAGCCAGCCCAGGGAAGAAAGACCATGAGACTCTTATCTCCAATAAACCACCAGAAAACCAGAAGTGATGCTGTGACTCAAGTGGTAGAGCACTTGTCTTGAACTGAAGAGCTGAAGGACAGCATCCAGGCTAAGTTCAAGCTCAATAACCGACAAAAAAAAAAAAAAAAGATATTACAAGTTCTAAACCCTCTCAGAAAAAAACAAACTAAGAGACTGAGTAACAATACTAATTAGATGAAAATTCAGGGCTGGGAAGGTGGCTCAGTGGTAAAGCGCTTGCCTTGCATGCTTGAGGCCCTGGGTTCGATTCCTCAGCACTCATAAGCAAAAAAAAAAAAAAAAAAGCCAGAAGTGGTGCTGTGGTTCAAGTGGTAGAGTGCTAGCCTTGAGCTGAAGAGCTGAGGGGCAGCGCCCAGGCACAGAGTTCAGGCC